TATGTAAGAAGAAGAAAGAAAGAAAGAAAGAAAGAACGTTTCTTATCTAATTACTTCATCTATATTTAACAATTTTGTCACACCGTACTATGACATTTTACAGTAATCAACTACTATTACTACTATTAATGTAATGGCACAATAATAATAATTAAAAAATAATAATTTGACTGATATAATGTTTAAAATCATAAAACTTTACACAAAATATTCTTATTACTTTTAGTACTACTCTTAAATATATCAAACTGGAAATATATCAGACTGAATGGTACTGATTTCATAAAATGATCCCTTAAATTCTTTTGAAATCATTGCAAGGCAGTGTGTCAGAAGCATTTTACTTTACTGGCTTGTGGTCTGAAACAACTGTTTGTTGATCTGAATCAATGTTGGATTTTGTTATTTTCAGTTAACAAAAAAAGAAGTGAGTAATTACCTTAAGTCAGCCAAACAATATGTTTGTGTTTGTGTAACAGAAATATGGTTTGTTTTTTAATTAGGCCACTGCTGTTTATCAAATTCTGCTTTATAGTCAGTGTGCTTTCTTTTGGCACCTCTCACAGCAGAGCACTTGTGGTTATGGCCACAGAAAGTGTGCTCTATTTCCAGTCAAAATAAATGAAAATGAGGTGGCGTTCTGCTCTCGGGTGTGAATTTTTTACACTTTAAACACTTAAAAGATAATCTTTTTTCTCATGTTTATTTTAATATGATACTTAAGAAGGACAGAACACAAACTGAGAAAAAGGTCATTAAAATTCACATCCAGCTCTGTGGTCCATCAGCTTCAAGCTGTTGAGGCAACATTTGCCTTCTGCGATACCGTTCTTGTGGTTACCAAACAATCTAAAAAAAATACCAGTCTAGCCAGATATCCAGCAGTTAGACATTTAGCAGTCAATCTGTATTACATAACTGGATCTTTGCAGAGATGGAAATTAAAATGTATTGATAAAACATAGACTGGTATGTTAAAGAAAAAGTTCACCCAAAAATGAAAATTTTGGTGAATTTTTACTCAACATTAAATTGCTTGCTCACCAATGGATCGTCTGCAGTGAATGGGTGCCTTCAGAATGAGAGTCCAAACAGCTGATAAAAGCAATAATCCACAAGTAATCCACACAACTCCAGTCTATCATTTATAATAATCCATAATTCATATTAATGCTTGCCTCCATTGGAAAAAGTCCATCCCCTTGTTGTCCGCTCACATCAAAACCCACTAGCATATTGTTTAGAACTGTTTTGGTCAGTTTTTGCTTGTAAACTGTACTTGATCAGTGCATATTTCTCTCCTGATTCAAATAAGACAACTTTTTTTTTTTACTGGGAAAAAGTATGGATTGAGGATTCATACTTTAGGAAGCAAAGGTTCAAAACCTTTTTCAAAGTTTTAAACGTCTCTATGATAGATTTGTTTATTACAAACACGCAGCTTGTAGATTACTTACATTACTTGTGGATTATTGTGATGTTTTTATCAGCTCTCATTCTGACGGCACCCATTCACTGCAGAGGATTGGCAAGTTTTGCAACTACATTATAACACTAGAGGGCACAATTATCTTTAGCAATATAAGGAGACAGTGAGATATTTTTGTATGCATTAACAGTGCTTATTGTAAGAAAAATAAAATAGCAAAATAAACATTAAACAACCTGCACTACTTATATGCAATACTTCATGCAATAAAGCTATATCAGTAAAGGTCTTACTAAAGGTCATACTTAAAGTCATGTAATTCATTCAGTATCCTATGATGTCATCAAGAAATTCCACTGAATATGAAACAACATTCTTTTTATAATCTTAAAGATCACCTTAGAGATAGTAGTATTTCCTAATGATCATGGCAAATTCAGGGCTGCGGTCCAGCAGAGTCCTGCGAACTGCTCCATCTAAGGAGCCCATCTGTGAAGAGGAGGACAGACGGAGGCAGCAGATTGAGAGATGTAGTCTCTTTCTCTCTACAAACCTTTAGATGGATGACGCTCTATTTACACTTCTGACCAAAAGAATCCTATACACAGGAAATGCTTGTGGATGTGAGTTCCTCTGCTTGAATGTGGGGAAGCTTATTTATTTCCACAAGCATTCCTGATTTGCACTCAGTGAGGCTTAGACCTTTCAGTTCAAAAACCACTTATGGCTATATATGGTGGCAGGAAATACATGTGGTAGACTAGTTTCACAGTTGAGGATTATGCATAGTCCTATAGCAACAAATAGTAGCTAAATTGGCTATATAGAAAAATGACATGTGTTTCATTCATTATTACGAATACCTATAAATACTTGCCCCAAAAAGCACTTTATTAAGTAAAACATATTAAAGAAAGCACAATTGTAAGTTCCTCTTACTGATATAAATTTCACCTCCATAAAACTGGGTTTCTTTGGGGTTTCAATTGAAGATGTTTATTTCAACAAGGTTTTACTCATACTCATTGTTTATTTAAAGAATTGAGTTCTCTTTTTCAACACAAATCTCAATACAAATTGAAAGTCCAAGGTACAAACTAGTTAATATTCTTTTCTTTCCACAAATGAATCATTAAGCAGTAAATCAGGTTTGAGTTGTTTGTGTATCTGTGGTTGTAGAGTTGTAGAGGAGAGGACAAGAACAACAGCACGATGCAATTTGTCAAGTATCTGAGAGGAACCTTGTTCATATAAACATGATCATTTTACGAAGACATTGTGCTCAGGATGGTTTGCAAAGGCAACGAGTGCGTTCTTGATCATAGTATACACATTATTAGAATTAACTACTGTACAGTATACTGTCCTTTAGAGTGGCCACCCATGTTGAATTCCACAACGACAACAATACACTCTAAAAAATGCTGGGTTAAATACAACCCAATGCTGGGTAAAATAGGGACAAACCCAGCAATTGGGTTGTTTTGACCCAGCGGTTGGGTTAATTGTTTAACCCAACCTTCTGGGTAGTAACCCAACCGCTGGCTCAAAACAACCCAATTGCTGGCTTTGTCCCTATTTTACCCAGCACTGGGTTGTATTTAACCCAGCATTTTTTAGAGTGTAATAGCAGTATAAATAATAATAGTAGTTTTAGCCTGAACGCTTGATAGATATGTTTATGTATAGATCTGTTTTTGTTTGCAATTAACAATTACAAAATACAGAAAATAAGAATGTTGCTGATATAGAATTCACCGAATCTCTGTAGACATAAAACTACACTCTAAAAAATGCTGGGTTGTGGACTAACTCAACCGTTGGGTTAAATTTTTACATTACATTTTTAACCCAAAAGTTGGGTTAGTCCAAATTTGACCCAAAGCTGGGTTGAAATAACCCAGCATTAATGATTAGATGCTTGAATTGCTTTGCTACAGTCTGGGATTCGTCAAGTGTCGTCAAAAGAATAATTTCTCATCTGTTTTCTCTCTGAAGTTCAGTATTTTGTCCGGACAGGTGAGAGACAGGTAGGAGCAGAGCGGGAATCCGCGCGGGTACACTTGTGGGTGCGCGTGTGCGATCAGCGACGACGTGAGTGCGTAACCGCGCGACTCCAAACACGCGACCTGCGCTCCTCCGGCAACGCCGCACCTTCTTTGGAACTGGTTCTCCCTTTTTGACAGAATACTGTCAATGCTAAACTCCTTCGATTTGTCTGTTGTTTTTCGAGGGTGCGTCTGAGCATTCGTTTCTTTGGATTTGGCGTCTCCAGTTTGCGCGCTTCCAGTGTCATTCATCACGGGTACCGGCGTCTCTCGCGCGTTTAAAGGCGCAGTGTTTGTGCCATTTAGATTGTTTAGAGACACTGTGCTGGTCTGTTCAGGCGTCGGGCATCTTGGGTTAGTGCCCGCTGTGGTCGAGGGTGCTAAACACCAGTCTTTTGTGGAGTCGGAGGCGTGTGTGGACACATTAGCCTCGCTATTTTGTTGTTGGGTGCCGTTACACTTCTCGTGGATGTTTAGATCTTTTTCGGGATGTTTTTCGTGTTGCCGCTTGCTTATTTCTGAGACCTTAAGCGGTGACTCTTTCTCCAAGTGGACGCCTTGATGAAGTTTAGAGTTCAGGGTCGTCGCTCGGCTTCTCTTATGCCCGATTTTAGTCTCTCCCGTTTCCTGAGTCCTGCACTTTCTCTTCCGTCGCCGGTAGTTTCCGTTATCGAACATGTCCAGGCATTTGGTGTCCAGCGTCCAGTAGCTGCCCTTCCCCGGTCGCCCTTTTTCTCTGGGCACTTTGATGAAGCAGTCGTTCAGCGAAAGGTTGTGGCGGATTGAGTTCTGCCAGCCCTGCTTGTTGTCATGGTAATAAGGGAAGCGGTCCATGATGAACTGATAGATCCCGCTCAAAGTCGCGCGCTTGTCCGGCGCGTTCTTAATTGCCATGGCGATGAGCGCGATGTAGCTGTAAGGAGGTTTCTGCGGAGGCTCCTGCCGGCTTGACGCGAATCCCAAAGCGGGAATGATGCCTCCGACTTCGCCACCGTAAACATAGATCAGGGAGGAATTCGATAAAGTGAGAGCCGGTGCAGCCACGCCGGGCTGTGGCACAGGGCTGTGGTATAAACTCATGACTTCGGAGGACAGTTTCAGTCTGGGGAGATCGCCACCGGTGTGTCCGCTTCATGAGTCTAAAATGTTAAATAATTGTTGTCCGTTTTGCTGTTTTATGTTGACTTAGCGCTGGAAAATAAATTGTCTATGATAAACACCCGTTGTGTTCCCTCAGCCCACCCACATTAATTAAATTTTCATTGCAGAAAGCCTCGAGTCTCTCTCTCCCCGCGTGTCCCCTGCCTACCAGCCAATGGTGTGCTCGGATATTCCTTCATTTGTTTATAGAATTAGTCTGTTGATAAGTCTGCCCACCCAAGTCGAATCAAGCTGTGTTTATTTGGAAAAAATTTCCGGGCACCCAATACATAAACGCACTGATGTGATGTTTGAAATATCACGTCCACCCTTAACGCTGAAAGTTGCTCGCACAGAGAGAACAAGCAAACATGACAGAGCTCTTTCTGGGAGTTGCTTTGGGTTGCTAGAAAAGAAAACAAAGCAGGCTATGTGTAAAGGAAAATAGCTTAATTTCTTTGTAACTCAGATTATGGACACCACAGTTACTGTTGACATTCATTTACTAAATCCATTTAGCCTAATTTAACATTTTTGTGTCAGATGAATGTGTAATTACACAGCGATATGTTGTTTGTAACACAATGGATCTGAATTCTACACTGTAAAATATGCACTATTTGCAAGTTTTAAACTTGATTTACCATAATCGTATGTAAAATACATTGTAAATGTGAAAAATATGAATTATCTTATAATTTAAGTATTTTATAATTTGATTTACAGGGCGATATGTACATTTACAGAAAGAGATTGTTAAATTGTTTGTTTCTGTAAGTAAAAATAACAAATGCCTTATACTTTTGGTATTTGGTATTTATTTGAAAAATGGTATTCCTAGAATTCCCTGCACAAATCATCTAGTTTAGTTCGATTTTATCTTAAAAGTTTTTCCTCAGTGCATTGGAGTGTTTTATGTTGTTGTTGTTTACTTTTTTTTATTTTAGCATAGTGTATCTTCCCCAATCATGTTTTGTGTCTATTCACTCTCAATAAAAAGTTACAAGAGCTGTCATTGAGACGGTACCCTTTCAAAAGGTACTAAATTGCATGTTTTAAGTGATAAAATGTACCATTTAGGTACTACTGTGTACCTTTAGGGTACTAAAATGTACCCTTTAGGGATAAATGAGGTACAAAGGTGTATACCTTTTCTGAGAGTGTTTGAACTTTAAGACATTGTGTGGTCTGCCAACCACCTGTGTTGTTATCAGTACATTTTACAATATAACAAACTAAAAAGATTTTAGGTTATGTTAATATTACAGATTTTAATGACCTGAAAATGGCACCATATAATGCTTGTAATATGTTCTATGAAGTTCTGGCAACCACACCTGCTAGTATAAGACAATTTTTACAGTGTATAGCTTCTTTATTCTATCACGTAAAAATTTCATCAGTTTGCTAACAATAGATGAAAGAGCAGTGATATCCAAAAAAGGAAAATTGGCAGGACGTTAGGATAAACTGTATTATTTGTGGATGCACGCATGATGCTTTATATTATGTATTTTCCTGTTTATAGGACAGAGAGGGATTATAACAACTTTACAAGTGCACACAGCTGGCCTGTGATTACATTATGCGTTTGGAGGTTTCTGTGGATAAACTTGAAAGTTTTTCCTGAGTTTGTACTATGCCTCTGAAGATGGTGATTCATAAAGTTTTAGACTAAAAATCCAGACACACCGGCAACATGCCACTATGATAATATAGGTTTCAACCTACAGAGATTGTTTAATCCCGCAGATGTGTTACCATTTTCTTTGAGTGTGCCTAACCTTGCCTTATTGTTTTATTCAGCTTTATAACTGAAAAACCATTGCCTTTTTGTATTTGATCTAAAGGTATGTTAACAGTATATGAATTGCCTTTGTTTTTCATATACTATATGTTCCTTGATTATTGATAGCTCTTAAAACGATTAACATTTTATTTCAGTTGTCTTCATTCAACATGAAATTTTCATCAGTGAATCTATCTTCAGAACTCAAAACAAGGAGAGAAATGTGGTTTTAGATTGTTTGTACAAGCAGACACAGATTTTTCTGTTATTTTTAACCGTTAGGAACATGTGTTAAAATTCCTTACTCTTTGTTTTATTCATCATGTTCCCATCTGAAGGATAAAAACAAACAAAAAACCATGTGAAACAGACTGGCAAGGTTTGTTACCAAACACAATAAATAAAATCAGAGCCAACTATTTTTCCACAAACAATGTAATTGGAGTTTTGATCTGAGCTATAGGCAGAGAAAGTCAGATTATTCTTTGCTTTGCATATATAGCTTTGCAAATCATCAGTCTTGTTCTGTCTTTTCGATCAATTTGTGTAAAATGTGAACATTGTAACGGGCCTGACGAGACGTGAGACGTGTGGATCCATCTGCAGGCTTTATTAAAGAGACGTGGTAAACAGGCAGGGTCAAACAATGGCAAACAGGTATATGGCGGGCAAAACACAAGAATAGTCCCAGGGCTAGCGTAGGTCAACGATCGGCAGACAGAATCACAGGGGCGAGACGAGAGGGAAAAATCCAGGAATACAGGCAAAGATCAGAAACCGCGGAAACAGGCAAGGCAAGGCAAGGCAAAACAAGGAAAACACAGAGACTCGGAATGGGACTCGGAAAGGGGTACGGGCTAAACAATACTCAGCAGAGAAAGGTGGTTAGAGTGGGTGTTATATAGTGAGTGAGGTGATTAGAAACAGCTGTGTGCAATGAGTGCAATCAGTGCAGTGTGCAAATCGTGCAAAGAATGATGGGATATGTAGTCCGGGGTGCTATGCAACAGTTTGTGTTGTGCGAGAGTCAATGTAATGGAAAGGGTGACCTCTGGTGGTGAATAAACAGAAGTCCATGGACCGAATTCGTGACAAACATATTGCATGCTCTTTAAAAGGGTTTTCCGAAAAATATATCTTTCATTCTATTTGTACAGTTGTTGTTTACCAGGCCTTTTTATCCAAAGCTACTTACAAAGCTACTTAATTACGGAAAAGGGCCCAATGGGACAATATGGGGTTAAATGAGGGTTGCTCAGACACACTAAAGCATGTTTCATATAATAAACAAACAATAGTTTGTTATATATACAAGCTCTCAAAGAACATGCACACACTGCACCGCACATATACTGGCATATGAGCAAGACAAGGTTCAAGAGGAGCTATAAACGGATCTTAAATGTATTTTCATTCAAACATTATATTATGCAGTTCTCAGATCTTCGGCTTTTGACTGCTGGTGCCATTCTATTCTATTCTATTCTGTTTAGTCAACTATTATATACATACAAGGAATCATGCAAACACAAAAACGTTTCATTTGTACCAGATGAGCATGTGACGAATAAAACTGAAAACTGTAGGCCTACCCACAGAAGACACAAAAAAATGTAAATTAAATGAGAGCAAAATAGTCACACACCAGAGGAACATATCATTTCAACATTTTATGGCATGCTTTTGAGATTAAATAATAAAACAAACAGTTGCATTCACCACATTGTCTCTCTGTATTATCACCTGCACTGTAATGAAAGTACTCGCCTGTCACTAGAGGCCTTCAATAAACGTCGCCATCTGGTGGCTTTTTATCAGTATTCTCAATCTATAACCTTTTCAAATTACTGTGTTCATTGGTGTGGCTTTTCCTGTGCGTGACCACAAGCTCAATTTATTGATTTAGCTGTCAGATCTAGCCTTAGGCTGGAATGAACAAGAAAAAGTAAAGATTTAAATATCTGTCCCTGCCCATAACATTTACTCCTTATCTTTCTCTGTGACATAGACCTTAATCAGGGTAGATGCCATACTGAATTTTATGCTGATGAAAATGAGGCTGTGTGGGAAAGACCTTACAAGATACACAAAGTCATGCACTGTTAAATGCAGTTTTTGTGTACTTAAAGTCTTTTGTAAATATGTTTTGTCAGCTGAACAATCGATATGTTCGATAAAACACACCGCATTTCTATCCCCGAAAGCTTCGTTTTGGTGCTTGTCAAAATTTAAATATGGCACTCTGACTATAATGACTCTGACTAAGGTCTATTACATTTATTATTTTATTTATTTAAAGCAAATTGACAGGTAGTCTTTTGTTTATTTCTTAGCCTGCTATGTGAGTTGAGCTAAAAAGTAAAGTTTACTAAATATCTGCACTCTTGAAACACCGTTGGAGTAATATATAGTAATATTAGTAATATAACATTAAAAATAGTATACCCGACATAAACATTTTCCTTCAAGCACCAAACTAATAATATGCTACACAAAATCTGGTCAGTGATTCATCAACATAGAAAGAAATATCAACATGATCGAACTATTGAGTCTAATGACAAAAAATAAAAAAATAAAAATAAAAAATTGAACCGTTTGCTCGCGTTTTGGAGTTTTTATCAAATGTAATATATTTGTATTTATTTATTTAACATATTTATAATTTGAAAGGATTAAATCCTTATTTATTTTATTTTTTATTAATTACTTTATTTATTTATTTTTGGCATTGAGCTATATTTACCTATGTTTGAACCATAGGTTTGAACCCTTGGATTTTACCCCTTGGCTTTTGTGGTCTACAGTTTATGTTCTGTTCGGACTGCTCCCGCTCTTTGACTTTTATTTTGAAAAATGTCGCCAGGAAGTGCTATCTCGTTGTCATAGGAAGTTGAATTATCAGCTGATCATGGTGTTTTGGATGGAAGTTGCGTTTGGCACGGAGGGGCTCTTTCTTTATAATCTTAAGCAAATCTTAAACGTCAAAGACACCGGAAAATAAAGCTGCACGTAACAGTGCGCCATCTCCAGCAAGCGAAACGGCGGAACCCGGAGAAATCCGCGTTGTTATGAACAGATGATGGTCATAAGTGCTGATGTGTTTGCTTGCTGTTGAATCATCGGAAAGAAAACAACGTCAGGCGAGGCTCGTGCGAGTCACTGATAGTCTGATGTGTGTATGTCGATTCATCTCGACCTGCGATCTTTGCCATAAATAGCTTAAATGCATGTAATGTAACTCGTTGAACACGAACTGTTCTTCGTTCGGTGTAATAATTAGTAGCTTATGTGTTTTATGTGATTCAGGAGTAAGTTAAAGGTCAGATCAAAGTGTTTTTTCTCGTTTACAACAGACAGCAGTTTTCAAAAATGCTT